GTAGTGTACTTCCCTATCTCTTCAGATTAGTTTTGGATTGAAGTTTATTTTGTCAGATAATAAAATGGCTACATCAGCCTGATTCTTGGGTCCATTTTCTTATAATATCTTTTTCCATCCTTACACCTGAGGTGATACTGTGGGGTGTTTCTTGGATGCAGTAGAAAGATGGATCCTGTTTTCACAATCCATTCTGTCAGTCTTTGTATTTTTATTGGGAAATATCAATGAGTAGTGTTTGTTGATTCCTGTTATTTTCTTTTTTTTTTAATGTATAACATTTTATGTACAACTGCAGGAGAAATAATACATAGATAGCTTGAACATAAAAACATGTTATAATTCAAAAGTCCAGGGTTATTTTCAATAGTAAAATATTTTCCCTGTAGAAAACAGTAAAAATGATAACATTTCCCAATATGCGCTTTTAAGCCAAATGATAGCTGAATTATACATATAAATATTTGATTAGATTCTGTTATCTTCTTGTTGTTGTTGGTGGTGTTATTGTGGTGGTGGTGGTGGTGGTGGTGGTGGTGGTGGTGGTGGTGGTGGTGGTGGTGGATGTGTTAGGATGTGTGTATGTATGTGGGGGTGTTTATGTTTCCCCTCTTTTGATTTTCACAGATTATTAATTCCTTTTTTTGGGTGAGGTTAACATTTTTGGGTTGGAGTTTTCCTTCTAGCACCTTCTCTGGAGCTGGATTTATAAATATTTATTGCTTAAATTTGGTTTTCTCATAGAACTAATTTTCTCAGCTATGGTGATTGAAAGTTTTACTGGGTGTAGTAATCTGTGTTGGCATCTGTGGTCTCTTAGAGTCTGCACCACATCTGTCCAGGCTTTTAGAGTATCCATTGAGAAGTCAGATACAATTCTAATAGGGCTGCCTTTATATATCACTTGGCCTTTCCCCTTTGAAACTTTTAATATTCTTTCTTTGTTCTGCATGCTTAGTGTTCTGACTATTATGTGTCAAGGAGACTTTCTTTTCAGGTCCAGTCTATTTGGTGTTCTGTGTGCTTCTTGTACCTTGACAGGCATCTCCTTCTTTGGGTTAAGGAAATTTTTTCTGTGATTTTGTTAAAAATATTAACTGTGCCTTTGATTGAGTTTTTTCCTTCCTGTAGTCTTACTATTCTTAGATTTGGTCTTTTCATTGTTTTCCAGGTTTCTTGGATGTTTTATGCCACAAGTTTTTTAGATGTAACATTTTCTTTGACTGAGTTATCCCTTTCTTCTACTGTGTCTTCAATCCCTGAGATTCTTTCTTCCACCTTTTGTATTCTATTGGTGAAGCTTCCTCTGAGGCTCCTGTTCAAGTTCCTAAATTTTTCATTTCTAGATTTTCCCCAGTTTGGGTTTTCTTCATTCATTATATTTCCACTTTCAGGTCAAGATTGATTCAGTCTCTCACCTGGATCACAGAAATGAGAGATATAGAATAGGAAGTACATCAGGATGCCTGTCATCAGACATCTAATGCATGCATTGCAGGATGGCAGGCAGATGACTACCTACCATTTCTAGGCCTTCAGTTCAGCAATGTCCCCACGGCGTAACTGGCAGGTAGCACCATTGCATTACCACTGTTGGATATAGCCTTACACATGGCCTCAAGCTGACTTGACTATGCTTGATTCTCATGTCTCTACAATTTTCTAACTGCATCTGTTTGTGTCAGTTAAAGACATTAATGATAACCCCAGAGTACCCAAAATGTATCAATGCCACTAAGGGAAAGAAAATTTAAAAAAAAATTGCCCTTGGAGTAGTTTTACTAAGAGGGAGCTCCAATCTGTATGTTCTCTCCCTGTGTCTTCTGTCATCTGTGCTTATGGTTGTTTTCTTGAATACCAGAAATCTGCCTTTTGTATGAGTCTGAATGTTTGTCCCTGTGCCTACATGAATGCTGCCTTATCTGTATCTGTGTCTGTGTATCCCTCACAAAGGGCTTTTGCCTTATATTTATTGAACAATATAGAAAGCACCACATGGGGAAGGAAGAAGGGGCACTTTACAGAATTCTCAAAACAGGGTCTTACTAGGGATGAAGCTTTACTAACTCCAACTGACCCAGAAAACAAACAGCACTGCAAAAATCACTGCAGACAGACTTATCACCCTATATCCATGCTTTTTCTGACATGTTTGTTTTATAAGCTATTTTCTGTTTTCAGCATGTATTACCATAACATACACATACACTTACATGAGTCAGGAACATGGAAGAGTACATGATTAAGATTGGAGTTATTCATCATCTTAAGTGGCCAAAGTCAATTACATGGGAAATCCAACACAATTAAGTTTGGTTGTTACATTGTTTTCCTGAAGGCCAGTTAAAGGAACAGGCTAAGTACACAGTAAGGTAGCAATTTTAAGTGACCTCAAGGTATATTATTGAGGCCCAGCAAATGTTTCAGACTCTTTGAATGTAAAAGGTGTTTTCATAATATTGCTTTGCCATGCTTGTTAATAACTAATTAGCTGCAATGACTCTCTGCAACTGTGTCAGCTCTCAGCTCAGCCTCCCATAAGTTACCTTTCAACATGTGGCCTCTTTAACCCTTCTGTAGTCATTCTGTACCATGCACATCCACACACTCATGTGTGAAATATAATTTGTGATCTGAGAGCCAATACCAGTAATTAACATTAACAAAAAAGAACTTGTGAATGCCAATAGTGACACTTTTTAAGATAAATTGTGGTTAGGTGGTAAGTTGGGAGCCAACAAAACTAATTTTGCTTGTCAATTCATTGGTATTCAATAAAGTGTGACATCCTCATAGAATGACAAAAAACAGCCCATCTATGTTCCTGCCACAGCACACTCAACAATAGCCAGTTAGGACACAGATTTTTTAACTATCAGGAAAATAATGTAAAACAATCATAATTAATACTCTAAATTCTCTGCTGGATAAGAATAATAAGGGAAGCAAAAAGATAAAATCCTCAGATATTAATACAGAGACAAAACGCCAAAAAAGAAAAAAGAAAAAAAAAACCCATGCTTTAACAATCTGACCCAAAAAGATAAGGGTGTCATCAAATGTATTGAGATCTATAGCTGAGATTTCTTCAACTTTGCCATAGCCATAACCACCTTCTTTTTTTTCTCCTTTTTTTATTAATTTACTTATTTATTTTACATCCTGACTGCAACCTCCCTTTCCCTCCTCCCATCCCACTCCCTCTGTAACCTCCTCTCCTCACCCTGTGACCTCAATCCATCCCTCCTCCATATTCACTCAGAAAGGGGTTTGCCTTCCATGGGCATCAGCAAAGCATAGCATATCAAGCTGTTGTAAGACAAAACAACTCTCCCCGTATTCAGACTGGTCAAAGCAATCCAATATGAGGAATAGGTTCCCAAGGGCAAGCCAAAGCACCAGGGACAGGCCTGCTTCCATTGCCAGAAGTCCCACAAATACAACAAGCTACACAAATGTCATATATATGCAGATGACCTAGGTAGGTCCCATGCAGACTCCCTGGTTGTTGGCTCATACTCTGTGAGTTCCCAAGATCCTGGCTGGCCTTTCTGTGGGTTTTCTTGCTATGCCCCTGACCATGCTCCTCTTACAATCCCTCCTTCCTCTCCTCAGTAGGACTCCCTGAGCTCATCCCTAAGCCTGTCTCCATCAGTCACCAGATGAAGGCTCTCCGCCAAACAGGGTAGTCACCAGTCTGATCACAGGGGCTAGCACATTCAGGCTATGCACCCACTGCTGCCAGGAGTCTTAGCTGGGGCCACCCTTGTAGACTCTCAGAAGTTTCCCTTGCATCAGGCTTGACTCTGTAAAGCCTAGAGCCCCCATTTCCAGTCATCCTTCTCAGCCCTCTCCCCCTGCCAACTCCCCAACCCGATCCCTCAAGTTCCCATGCCCACACAACCCAATTCAACCAGGAAATCTCCTCCATTTCCCCTTCCCTGGGAGATCCATGTGTCCCCTCTTGGGCCCTCCTTCTTACCTAGCCTCTCGGGGTCTGTGGATTGGTTATCCTTTACTTTGCAGCATAACCACCTACTTAATGCTTACACAAACGTATTTTAAAAAGAGCCTTGACTTAGGACTATCTTTGTTCTGTTAAGTATAAAAACTTTGTGAAACAGTGACGACTTGGATCCTGGAATGTGGGAAAATCTGAATCAGTCTCACTGAGCCTTTGTCCCTCATACTTGGCTTCATAATAAACTATCTCTTATCTCCTACGAGACAAGAGCTGTGGTTCTTTGCATGGATAACCGCTCACTTCTGCAGTAGGCAAGCTAACCAAGGAGTTTGAAACTATCAATGAAACCTAACCTAGCTGGTCCCTCTTCAAGGCTTAAGGCACAAAGACAAGAATAAGATGCATCTCCTCGCCGACAGCTTTTACAAAGTCCTGTTCCCCAAATGGGGCTGACAGCCTCCAGTCATCGTCCTAACTCTCCACTCATCTGAATTCCAGAACCTTGTAGGCAGGTTGCCCCAACAAAAGATCATCCTCAAACAACCTGGTAATCCTGGTTAGTCCCTTGAAAAATATACTATCTTCTTCACACTACCTCACAGAACAAGAGCTGAGGTAATGACCAAGCCAACCTCACAGCTCCACGGCTGGTTCTTTGGGCATTCCTCTCTGCTGCTACTCTGAGTTCTCTGCTGAAAGCTAAAGCTCAGAGAAATGACTTAAAAAGGAACTTAGATTCACTGAATCCCTTATCCACAACATGCTCACATTTATTAAATCTTTCTCTGTTCTCACTATTATTTGTCTCTTTAATTGGCCTGTTGGGATGAGTGGCTGAGCTAATTTTATTGGGACTCCTCTGAGAGTCTGGGCTTTTGCCATGAAACTCCAGAAACAAACGATAAACTAGGGCACATCCAGAAAATGGAATAGTTTTCAGCCCTTAAAATAAATTAGCCATGAAGAGACATAGAGGAACTTTAAATGTATATTTCTAAGTAAAAGAAGTTAATCAAAACTATTGTGTTCTGTCTAGATCCAATTATATGACATCCTGGGAATATCAAAACTATGAAGCATTAAAACAGCATTGGCTGCCAGGCCTCAAGCTGGGAAGTTGGTGGAACACAGAGAACATGGAAAGTTTGGGGTAATAAGTGCTTCTTCTTTGACTGGCCTGAGAAGCAGGTAGGCTAACTGCAGATCTTCACCTCTCCCTCTGCTCCTCCAAATCCATTCCTCCAATCTCATCTCCAGCTCTGCAGCAGATCCATCTCTGCAGCCTCCCGCCCTCTACTACCCCCATCTCCAGTAGATCACACAGATCTTCCTTTCCTAACCTCTCTCTTCCTAGTCTTTATCCCAGCCTTCAACTCCATCAGGCCCTCCCTGGGAACCCACAGCCACTCCTGCCTAGAAAACAGGTAGGCTGAATACAGATCTTCACCTCTCCTTCTATTCCTCCAGATCCAATCCCATGGTCTCTGATGCAGTTCTGCAGCAGATCGTCTGCTGCAGCCTCCCTTCATCCCTACGCACATCTCCAGTGGACCCCACATACATTCCTGTCCAAATGTCCCTCTCCCAACACAATTTATTGCTGTATCTCTGTCCCAAACTCCAACAGGCACTCCCTGGGAACCCATAGGCTTCTCTGACAGGAGGCAAGTAGGCTCACTCAGATCTTCACCTCTCCTTCTATTCCTCTAAGGCCAATCTACTAGTCTCAGACCCTGCTCTGTAGAAGACCTTCAGCTATGGCTTCTCCTCACACTCTGCCCCCATTCCTAGGAGAATGAACAGATCCTAGTGAAACACCCTGCTTCCCCTCAGTCAATGAACCCATGCAGCAGCACCCCAAAGATCATCTCCATTCCAAAGTGTCAGCTCACAATAACCATAAACATGTTTTACCTGGAACCATACCTATCAGGACCCCAGAAGAATTTCCTACCAGGCAACACAGAGCCACCACACTCTCCTAAAAACCAGAGAGAAAATAGAAATCAAGGGACAAAACACCCACACAACAAAGACAATACCAGATAACAGCACCTAGAATTGAAATTTTTCCCAAGCCCTGATGTCTAGACCCGCCCCCCCAGCAAAAAAGTACAATGACAGGCAGGACAATATGTCTCCACTAGTGTCCAGCAACCGTGCCACAACAGGCCCTGAGAATCACAACATAGCTGAAGCATAAAACAAAGATCTTAAAATAGCCATTATAAAAATGATAGAGACCCCTAAAAATGAAATGAATAAATCCTTAAAGAAATCTATTAAAACACAAACAAACAATGGAAGGAAATGAAGAAAACAAATCAAGACCTGAAAATATAGTAAAGAAAACCCAAACTGAGGGAAATCTACAAATGAAAAATCTAGGAACTCAAAAAGAGGCAAGCCTCACCAACAGAATACAAAAGATAGAAGAGACTCCTAGGCCTTGAAAACATGATAAAAGAAAATGTATAAACACAAAAAATCCTGGCCAAAAAAATCCTGGAAATCCAAGAGTAATATGAATACAGGAAGGAGAAGAAACTCAAGTCAAAGGCATAGTTAATATTTTTAAGAAAATCATAGGAGAAAATTTTGCTAACCTAAACCCAAGAAAAGACATGACCTAAGTAATCTCAAACCAGGAAATCAAAAGAGGGGAAGCAAACTACACACAACAACAACAACAAAAGAACAGAAAACAACAATCACTGGTCACTGTATCTCTCAATATCGATGGTCTCAATTCCCCAATAAACACACAAAGTGATGTGAAAACAGGATCCATCCTTCTACTGCATTGAAGAAACACAACACAATAGCAAGGAGATATCAGCTCAATGCCAAAGGATAGAAAAATATACTCTAAGAAAATGGACTTAAGAAGCAGACTCATGTGGCCATTTTAATATCTGACAAAAGAGACTTCCAACCAAAACTAATTTGAGGAGATAGGGAAGGATACTACATACTCATCAAAGGAAAAATCCACCAAGAGCACATTAAAAATCTTAACATCTATGTCCCAAGCACAAGGGCACCCAAGTTTGTAAAAGAAACATTTTTACATCTTAAATCACTCATTGATGTTCACACAAGATAGTGGGAGCCCTCAGTACTCCACTCTTGCCAAAAGACAGGTCATCTAGTGTAGACAAATTTCTAAAGACTCTTATTAAATAAGAAACACAGAGCCATATACAGGGGTGACAGCTGTAGAGACCAGAGAAATAGTGAATAGCCACCACTAACCTTAGCTCACCATACCGCTGTAGCTTCCCAAGTGAACCAGCTTCTTCCTGCCTAACCTGAACATTTATTGCCTTGTAGTTCTGCCTTCTCATTGGCTCTAAGCCCAGCCACCTCATTTCCTCGTCATTGCCTGTCTATACAGACCTCCAGGTCTCTATGGTTGGCACTGGGATTAGAAGCATGTGTCACCACACTTGGCTGTGTCCTTGAACACACACAGGCTCTGCCTGCCATGTGATCAGATTAAGGGCATGTGCTACCACTGCCTAACTTTTGTTTATGGATGGCTATCTATGTCCTCTGATCTCCAGGCAAACTTTATTTATTAACATACAAATAAAATATCACATTTCAGCACAAATAAAATATCATCACAATCTAGACAAAAATTAAACAGAGAGGGCTGGAAAGATCGCTCAGAGGTTAAGAGCACTAATTGCTCCTCCAGAGGTCCTGAGTTCAATTCCCAGCAACCACATGGTGGCTCACAAACATCTGTAATGAGATATGGTGCCCTCTTCTGGCCTGCAGTCATACATGTTGTATACATAATAAATAAATAAATCTTTAAAAAAAATTAAACAGAGAAATGCTGGAGCTAATGGATGCTATAAACCAAGTGGACCTAATAGATGTCTACAGAACATTTCACCAAAACACAAAAGAATAAGTCTTCTTCTCTGTACCTCATGGAACTTTTTCCCAAATTGACCATATGTTCAGTCCCAAAGCAAGTATCAACAGATCCAAGAAAACTGAAATAATTCCCTGCTTCCTACCTGACCTCCATGTATTAAAGCTGAATTTCTACAAGAACAGAAAGCCTACAAACTCATGGAAACTGAACAACTCTTTATGAATGAAAAATGGGTCAAGATAAAAATTCTGAAAGAAGGCAAAGACTTTCTAGAATTGAATGAAAAAGAATACACAGCATTCCCAAACTTACAGGACACAATGAAAGCAGTGCTAAAAGCAAAGTTAATAACACTAAGTGATTATATAAAAAACATTAGGACTTCCTGAGAATGGGAGACCAGCCCCCCAGCTCCCATCTGGCCCAGAGCTCCCATCCGGGCCAGAGGTGAGTGTCTGTGGTTATACCCAGGGAGGCCAGCCCCTAGGTCCCATCCCTGGACACCAGCCATTCCCGGGGGAAGGCCCGCCCAACTTGGCCCCAGTTGCCAGACATCGAGCGGGGCTCCCACGGGAAGGTTCCCCTTCTCCAAGATCCCTGGGCAGACCCTGCAATCTACACACCCTGCCCACACACCCATCCACCCAAGACCCCCCGCCCTACTTCCTGAGAATTGGAGACCAGCCCCCAGCTCCCATCCAGCCCAGAGCTCCCATCTGGCCCAAAGAGCTCCCATCCAGCTCAGAGAGCTCCCATCTAACCCAGAGAACCCCCATCTGTTCCAGAGAGCTCCCATCTAGACCAGAGAGCTCCCACCTGGCCCAGAGAAAGAGAGAGCTCTCATTGGACAAAGAGCCACCATTGGACCAAGAGTAAACTCGGGAGACAGGCAATCTGCCAGCCCTGATTAGACCAAGAGTGGCTTTTAGAAGCAGAATCTACCACCTCTCATTGGACCAAGAGAGGCTTCCTGAAACGCTGAATCTGACAGCTCTGACTGGACCACGAGCACTGATAAGACCAAAAACAAATCCACGAGGAAATGGGCAGACATCAAGGCAGAAGTACACACAACGAAATAAAGAGCAATACAGCATCACCAGAACCTACCCCTCTTCCAACAGCAAGACCTGAACATCACAAAGTGAAAGAAGCAGAAGAAAGCAACCTTAAGAATAACATCATAAAGATGCTAGAGGCTTTTAAGAAGAAATCAAAAATGAAATTGAGGAAAAGATAAACAAAAAAGTGGAGAAAATCAATAAAGAAAATGAAAAGTCAAACAAAAAAATGGGAAGAACATTATAAAAAAAAAGCTAGAGGAAAAGACAAATAAAGCAGAAGAAAACAATAAATCCCTGAAAGAAAACCATGAAAAAGCAATGAAACAGATAAGGGAAACAGTCCAAGTCCTGAAAAGGGAAATAGAAACAATGAAGAAGACATAAACAGAAGGAATGCTGGAAATAGAAAATGTAAGTAAACAAACAGAAAACACAGATGCAAGCATAACCAACAGAATACAAGAAATGGAAGAGAGCATCCCTGATGTAGAGGATACAATGGAGGAAATGGATTCGTCAGTCAAAGAAAATATCAATGCCAAAAAAATTATAACACAAAATGTCCAAGAAATCTGGGACACCATGAAAAGACCAACCCTATGAATAATAGGGATAGAGGAAGGAGAAGAATAGCAACTCAAAGGCACAGAAAATATATTCAACAAGATCATAGAAGAAAACTTTCCCAACTTAAACAAGGAAATGCCTATGAAGATACAAGAAGTCTATAGAACATCAAACAGACTAGACTCCCCAAAAAAAGTCTCCTCACCACATAATAATTAAATAACTAAATGTACAGAATAAAGAAAGAATATTAAGAGCAG